CCACCGCATGGTACGATAACGCCTACAGTGGCGCCGGACAGTACGCCTCGCAGGCTACTGCCGCTGTTGTCGAGAGTCTCGCTGCCGCGCAGGTCCAAGCCGCCAAGCAGTACGAGGACATGAGCAAGCTCGTCTCTGAGCTCCTTGTGGGCAAGGAGCCTACCGTCTCCGAGAGCGTCCTGGCTCGCTTGCAGGCCGCCTACTCCACGGGCATCGCCTCCGCTGCCAGCATTGCCAGTGCTGCTTCCGCAACTGTGTCTTCCGCTGCCTCGGCTGTGACGGATGCCGTCAAGGAGACCGTTCAGCACGTCCGCGATGAGTTGTAAACAGCTCATAGCACATCCAACATCTCCTGAAATACCATGAACACATACGATTACATGAGTAATAGCACACGAAATCATCTCAACCCCAACCCCCCCCTGCCTGAAGAGGCAAATACTTCCATCACGCTCTTTTACGTACCAGATACCCTCGCGCCTCGAGTATCGTGGCCGACTAGTCTCAAAAAATTTCTTTTCTGTCCTGCCCTCGTCTGGCTACTTTCTAGCGCCTTTCCTGAAGCCATGAAAATTGTTGTTCGTCGCTACGTTTCTTCACAAAAAGACGTTTAGCATCTGATTCCTATTTCACGCGTTGGAGGTGGAGGAGCAAAGGAGGAAGTAAGGTGAAGACGAGGCTGACTTGTGGTACAATGTGGCAGGGCACGGAGCTGGCGTTTTGACAGTGGGAAACTGGGATCGCGGTTCTTTGGGGATACAATGACCGGCTGGCCCAATACTATTTCACCTTTACGTTTATGTATGCTCACGTATTATGTCTGTCTGTATAATTACAGTTTGTGAAAAGAAAAGATTTGACTCGAATGGAGCACTGCCTGTGAATATTGACATGATGAAACTCTCGGGCGGGTGATGCGAACGGAGTGCGTGAGTCCATGATGAAATACCTACATTTTCCGGCGATGGATACTGTTTTGACAGCTCCCATCTGTCGACATGAGACAGGCTCGCTTTTAAAGGGTAGGTTTGTGTTATCACTCACTGGGAAAGGGGTTTGTCCAGACTTGGTTGACAACGCGATGATGATGTCAATTTCCACTGCCTCGGAGTAGTGTGTGTGAACGGGAACCCCTGGATGCGAAGTCTTCAGCAAGGCGAACGGCCAGCTGGCTTTCAAAGCTGATTCATTGCGTTAGTCATATTACGATATGCCTGCCCCCCTCAGTCCGCTCCCGAGTCCCCCTTTCTTGAAAGGATGCTGGTGTTGATCAAGATATCGTGGATGGAGGCTGTGGTTGGAGGCGAAGTCTGAATTTGTTCACGTCGAGATGCCTGGGATGTCCCGGGGAAGGGGGGTTTAGTTGCCATGTCAAGGTTGAGCTACAAGAAGATAAAGATATATCAGATGGATTGATAATCAGAAGGGTCTTTACATTTCTCTTACTCGATGATGAATTTGACGTCTTTACAAAATCACATCAATACATATACCGCCTGTCCCGCACGCCCACCTTGATACCCCGTCATGGCCAGGAGGTTTGCTTCACATGTCCCTGAGACCGCATGGTGCAAGATGAAATATCGAGGATAGGACTGGAATATTGTTCCGCTTCCACGGGCTGCTGCTTCGAGCTTCGTTCGTTTTGTCATGAACAGCTTCCTTGCATCCGTTTCACATTGGGCCTAGCAGAGAGCCTGCTTGAGTCCTTCGTAAATCGCCCCTATATCAAATACCAGGTGTATCTATATTTTGATAGTCATTTACACTCATTTCAGGGTGCTCGAGAACAGGGGAGCCATGTCTTTTGGACGTTGCTGGTTTCCCGCTTGCAAGAGGGGAAGAGCGAGAAGTTGGGAAACTCGCTCATACTGACGAACCAAAGCATCATGCATGAAATTGTCTTTCATCTTTTGCAACTTTGCTGCAATGGTACGATGAAATTGACATAGCTACCTTGAATCGGATTAAAGCTAAATAAAGCGACTGTGATGGGATGGGATAACCGAATACATCACCCTTTCCCTCAGGGGCATTTTATGCTCCTCACCAACGTCACCTTGGCCCGGCCAGCCCGCCCATCAGGAATCGGCGTAGGTATTATCCGTCGACATCTCAGCGTTGTCCAAGGTTACAGTATACAAAATCAAGATGTGTAATACTCATATTCCTGATTGTATAGGTTGGACCTGAATTATGGAGGACACGTAGAGTGCTATATACCTGATGAATAATTGATCATGTTCCTTTTACGCAGTACCTTGGGCCTGCTTCTTGAGAAGGTTTGCACGGCATCTAGCTTCTAACCATCACCGTCGTGCCTCCAGAGCGAATCGCGATCAATGGGCAATAATCAATGGCGTCTCCTCGCTGCCTGAATCTTTCAACATTTAGGTGTCACAGGGCCAGACATCGGTTTCCGGTCGCGGCCCAGACCGGCCTGTTTTGGGTTTGAGTTGGAGAATCCCCCGGACAGCTACCTTGGAGCGCATCAAGTAGTGACCTTTCCCGCCGCCGAAGCGGTACAGGATCCCACGAAGGGGTGGAACATATGCGTGATCTACAGCGGATTCATGGCCATGTAATGGCCATGTACAAGCCATGATGGAGTTCCGCGTTACTCAACACAAGGCAGCGAGATAAAGAGCGATGAGGTGACACAGGTTCCCCTACCTTGACACACACCGCTATGGCGAGACCCGCGATTTGAATGTCACAATAAGAATCAAATAGAGAACTGTTCATCTTGGATTATTCTCTTGGAGCTGGACAGGTCATGATGGATGATCTATTGGTCTGCAGAGTCATGTCTTTCACGTTCAGGATCGCCAAGCTTGACTTAAAGAGTCCGCAGTTGACATTTCCCCTTGGAGAAATTGAGCCTTTGAGGAGGATCGTGTAAATACAGTTGCTACAAGTCTTGATAAATGTTCTTCAATCAGAGTCAGAGGCATTTCATGTAGAAATGGCACTGGCCAGGTCCCCCATGCTGACCTTGCAGAAGCGAATGAATGGGGCAAGCGGGAAGCCTTTAGATTCGCCCGCTCGCAAAGGGTGTACGGAGTTTTCAGTCAGTTACTTGCGAGCTAGAGTCTCACATCCGCCGAGCAGGCAGCAGAATTATTTCCAACATGTCTTTTTCCCTTTGCCCCGCGTTTGTGGTGCTTGATAGTCGGACCGAGCGTATCGTGGGCCCGGAGTGTCTCTCTTTCCGTCACCTGGAGTTTGGGAATGAGACAGGGTGAGAAGACGTTGGAATCGTTCACGGAAAGTTCCTTAAATTATAAGGATCTACCGTCATCTTGGAAGACAACCGACGTGACGAGTTGGGCGAGCAGAAGATCGAGTCGTCGATGTGTTGATGGCTCCTGTCAGTCTCTGGCCTAACCCTGCTGGGGCCACCGCGAGGAATAAGCTAGTGACGGATCTTTCCAGAGTACGAGTGTTCGTAGTCAGTACGAAAGCCCCTCTTCAAGGAGTCTACGTAGTATGAGGACTCGAGGAGGGGGCCCCTTGACGAAAGTCTGTCATTCCAACCGGGGATGGATGGGCAATTAAAGCTGCCGGGTGCCGCGATGTGGATAGGAAAAGGCGATTACTGCAGTCTGCGGTAGTGGTGTCGGAGATAATGTGGGTGCCTCTCACTCGACGAGGTTTTTAGTGTTTAGGCAGCCAAATAAAAAAAGAGGAGGACGCCAACGACCATCCTGGGAGCGGAACCTAGGGACGGCAAGGCAGCGCCAAGTGCCGTGGTGAGATGGACTTCTGTGACGGGGCCGTTGTCTGCCCAGGTTGAAGAGTCTGTCTGTAAGGTATTACGTATATTTGGTACGGATACTCAAGTTCCCATCTGGAAGTTATTTTCCATTAATAGGAGGAAGGAATTGGCGAGCAAAGGAGGAACTTGAGCCCATGACGAGGGAAGGGGAGACGCCTCAATGTGCCTGGATGCCAAGAAAGTCAGTGACAGGTCCCCCGTCCAAACCTCCACGATCTGTTGGTACGTGTATTCCAGACCTAGTCGCCTGGTCCATTGAGCAGCCAAAGTAGGTAAGGTGAGTTTGGTGCCGAAGCCTGAAGTGCCTTGATCCATGAATGACGGACACGGACTCCGTTTAGACGCCCAGCAATAGTCTGCAGTACCCATACTCTGTATGGGGTTCTCGTACACTAGAGCGAAAGAGAGAACGAGAATTGTGTGAGAGCACAGCAAAACTGGGCAAGGTAGCCGTCGATGGCGGCAGGGTTAGCACAGGTAGCGGTCCGCTCTACGCTGCTCAGCTCTTCTGCACTGCTGGCGCTGCCGGGTGTTTCTTGGGATGCTAGCCAGGATGAGGGACACTAAGACGGTAAAACGAGCCTCAGCTTACTCATGCTTCAGTGTGGAGGATGCTGATGGCTGATGAGAGAGCAGCCAACGTCGGGCGTCAGTGGTGGGCTAAGTAGTCCGAGCCTTAGTTCGATGCGGTTCCCGAGGATGTGCGTGCTGATCAGACGTAGCGTATCCGTATCTTATGGACAAGTGGATTGCCATATAAGAGAAGCCCATTGGGAGGGGAAACGGGTGAGTCAATACGGAGAATCGTATATTCCTGGGACAAACTGGGCAAAGACGTGTGCTGGACTCTGCGTTTTCCTCCTTCGTTGTTCGAGAATGAACATGTGAGGACCTGATTCGAGATAATCGCCCAACGTGTCTTGGAGAGGAGAAGCAGTGGGCCCTGGAGTATCTGCTTCCTGAATGGTGCTCTCGTACATTCGAGTGCCAAGATCCAGAATTATTGACTCTCCATGTTGAATCAGTTTTGTCAATGCAATATGAGTGAGTGTTCAATAATGGGTGAGAGGTGAGAGGTGCGAGAGGAGGTTGATGGCAAAAGGAAGGTTGAGGTACAGAAGGTACGTACTGTTGCCCCCGGCAAGTTCAGCCCCGATTGCCCGGGAGGGGCCCACATCGCAGGCTCCAGGATTATTATGGCCAATAACGCTCTCGATATATATGGGGCTGGCCGAAACGAGCGAGACAAGCGAGGCAAGCGAGTCCCAAAGGCGCTCCTCCTCCTTCAGGCAGCAGCATTTCCAGCCAGCCAGCAATCGGCAGGAGTGACACCGCAAGCAGCCCGCGCGCACCTTCCGTCGCAGTGCAGCGCATCGCAATCGAATGTCGCACATTTTCCCACGACACAATTGGCGGGGCCCCAATTCCTCATCTCATCAACATCCACCCGACGGCATCGCCATCACCAACATCAAGCCACAATCTGAACCACCGTTCAGCCAGTCGACCCAGTCTCCGCCTCTCAGTACAGGTATTCCATTCGCTGTCCCTTCTAAGCAGGCAGTGGCAGGGCCCGTCCGTACGGCACGGAGTACGGATAGCGTGGACGGATACCTGATGGGATTATCGACAGGAAAGGGAAAAGACCGTCCGTACCTAAACTGTGGTCTGTAGGCACCGAAATAATTCAATCCTTCTTCCCGCCGTCTCGGGTCTCTGCTTGGCTTAGGTTGGATCTTTGGTCGCACCTGGTCCCCTACCATACCTTAGCACCCCTCGGCCTCCATCCACTCGCTGGCGCCCATATTCTACGTGCCTACGGAGTACATTCTTGGACTCCTTGATGACCACGACGGGGCCCACGAGTGTTGGATGCAATCTTCTTCCCTCTTTTTACTTTCTTGCCTCGCACTTGTTTGCTTGCTTGCTTGCTTCCCTTCACTTCATCAACAAGGCTGGCCATCTCACGAATAGTCAAACCAACAAGCCAAAAGAGTGTTGGAACCATCTATTATTATCACGACACTCACAAACTTACTTACGCAAGCATCTCTAGCCGCGTAATCGCTCACTTCAGCTTCTCTGCGCTCCTCGCTGCGGACTGCTGTATACGTACCCCCGTCCACGTCCAGCGACCACTCACAGTCGCAATTCACGCCAACTGAGCCCCGCCGCCCGCACAACCTGGCTCATCCGCTTCCGATATTCACAGCGCCGACCCCGAGTCCCGACTTCTTATCACCACCTCCGGTCCTTCCCTGGAGCCGCCTTGATCACACAGTCCCCGATTATGTTTACTGTGAAGAGTTCCTCATAAACGTATTATCTAATCCTCACGAGCTGCGCTCACCTGCTCTGGCTTCGACTCCCTCACATCTCACCCCCGCCTCGCTGGTGAGGGGCTTACCTCTTTGTCTTTAACCTGCACAGTGTTTCAATCGCCAACATGGAAGGCATTCGTTCCACTGGCGGCTACATGCAGCGGCGCCTGAGTCGTCTGTATAATGACACAAAGAAGTCTTCAGACTTTGTTCAGGAACCAGTCAAGGCCCCCGAGGACCCTGAAATCAAGTCACTGTTCAGAAAGCTCCGCATCCAAAAGGACCGCGTATCAACGTGGGGTATCGAGTGGACAGATCCTAACCAGTCAGATGAAATTGATAGCTCACTATCAAAAGCCGGCCTGAGTGAGGTTGTTCACAGCATTCTCTCGACTGTTCGGGAGACGCTATCAGAGTTGGATGCGCTATGGAAGAGCTACACCAACCCGCTAGGCACCGTCTCAGAAAAGTCGGCAGATCGCAAGACCGCCTTTGTGACTTGGGACAAGGCAGTGTTCGCGGATGCCATTGGAGACCTCACTCAGTCTGTCGACACACTTTACGACCTTTCTAGAACACGCTCCTCCGCGCAGATGTCGTCGCGTTCCAAGCTTGAAAAGTCCATGGCTTCCACTGAGGAGCTGCGGCCTTTTGAGTCCACCAGGATGCAGACGCCTCAAGAAATCGACCCGACAACATTAACAAACATTCGGTCCATGCAGGCGGAGCCCATGACCGAGTCGAGGGTTAACCTTCCTCCACGCGATATTGTCTTCATGAGCAAGCAGGCTTGGTCAGATCTATCGCAACATATTGGCCGCCAACCCTTTGCGCCGCTCTTGTTGGAATTTGCAACATTCGACTCTATGTACGCCATCACGGGTATCATGCCCCCCATGTCGCGCTTTGAGAAGCTGTCAGCCGGCTTGCAGCAGGACTCGCAGAGGGCCCCAGGTACTTGGATCGGCCTGCCGAGACTGCTGGGTTATTTCGAGGATTTGGAGCACGCCCGCCTTGGACTCGTCTATCACTTCCCGCCCAACTTCAACGCCGTCTCTTTTGAAAACTTTACGCAAAATCCTCTCTACAATGTTTGTACGCTCGCCGATTTGTTGTCGCGACCAGACTTTGAGCCGACCTTGGAGGCCAAGTATCGCTTGGCTTCCAACCTCGTCAACACCGTATTCGACTTGCATGCCCGGGGTATTACCCACGGCTGCATAATCGACAAGAATGTATCTTTCTGCAACATGTCCACGCCCGACTTGACCACGGGTCCCGGCGAGGTGGACATTCGCCGGCCTCTCATCTCATCCTTTGATCTGTTTCCAGATGCTCCATCAGATGATGAACCAGTCTCGCCATCGCTGCCCCTTTTCCGACACCCCCTGGACCCTCGCACCACCCCGGCATCGCCCATCAACGACAAGATGGACTCTCGTATCCTCGATCTGTACTCTCTCGCCATGGTTCTGTTGTCTATTGGTCTTTGGACGAAACTCGATAACCTCGTGCCCGATCCTAATCAGCCAATTCCTGAGTCAGTGTTGAACCAGCTAGGAATTCGTTGTTCTACCCTTTACAAGAGGGCTGTAGAGACCTGCTGGACGGCGGTTGATATGTCGCTTCAAGGGAATACCTCTGACGAGGAGCTTCTCTCGGCTGTGCAGGTCAGCGTGACGCGCTACCTCGACTCGTGCGCCATCCTAGACAACATTAGTTCTCTCGAAGACCGCCTCAACCTCGACCTTGGAAAGAAGACTTCCGTGTCCCCTATCGGCACGCCCACTCGTCAGAGCATCTCAGGGCCCTCAAAGGAGGTCAAGGTGGTGGCGACCCGACCGATCGTTGACACTCGTGGCTCCTCGGTTGATACCAAGACGCCCATTTCGGAACCCAGCTCCGCGCGCCGTTCATATCCCTCTGCTGCAGAGGAGAAGCGGCAGCTTGCCAGACAAGAGGGTCAAAGTAAGTACTACATCGCAGATTGCATCTTTCGGCCACTAACAACACCACAGCCGGCCCAGTAGAGCTCCCTGCGGAGTCAAGACCTGCCAAGGCACCGTCTCCCAAGACCCGTCTCTACCCGCAAATTCCCTTGCCTCCCGATGCTGTGGAGAAGTGGAACACACTTGTGATGCCTCAAGTCAACCAAGCACTGCGCCACTTTTACCGCAAAAACCGCGAGGAGTCGGTCGAAGTTTCGCTCGAGTCCATCGGCAGTTCGCCAACAAGAACACAACCGACGGTTTTGGTTGTGTGTACGTCTGTCAGCAAAGTCAAGGCCATTCTGACGCGCAAGTTGGGCGAGCTTTTCGAGGGCAAGTCTGGGTTCGGGTTGAAGGTTTGCAAGGGACAGGTTCTGAGGTCACGAAAGCAAGCCGGCGACCCCAAACGAAGCGCAGCACAAGAAGAAGACGATGATGACGGCGCAGTCAAGGCAGCCAACCCTGATTTTCAAGCGCGCCCAAGCAATGGCGCAAGTATTGGAGCTTGGGTGGGGGACCGCCACCTGCCGCCCGTTAGCTTGGGCGGCCTTGTCCTAGTCGACGACAAGCCGTATGGGATGACGGTCCACCACATGCTCGACGATCCTGAGGAGATCTACAAGCACACGAAAGCTCAGGATCGGACTATGCGTAGTATGGCTAGAGATGCTGAAGACGTTCGTTTCGACTGGTACGCAGAGTCGTCGGCAGAAAGCAGCGGTGGTGAAGACTATGCCTGCGAGTTTTCGGAATCAGAGGAGTCCGAAGCGTATTCGGAGACGGATGTTACTAGCGATGCGTCAGATGAGGAGGACAGTGGTGACGAGTCGGAAGGCGAATATGACCAGCCCGGCGATATTCCTGGTGTTGAGCCGGGCTGTGGCGACGGATACATCATCACGCAGCCCGCCATGGACGACGTCGACGAGGAGTTTTATGCTTCAGCCGAGACAGCAAACGAAGATCATTTGGACAGCTTTACCGTTGGCGAGGTTTACGCATCGAGCGGCATCAAAAGGAGGGAGCAGAACGGACTCATCCACGAAATCGACTGGGCCCTTTTCGAATTCGCCGAGGAGAGACTGCCCGAGGACAACTCGATACCCAGAATCCAGAGCAAGCAGCTGTCGCCTTCATACGGGAAATTCCCATCAAAGCAAGGCAAAGTTATGCACCCGATGACCGTTGCACCCACCACAGCGCTGCCTGGCCTGGAGGTGCAGTGCATGGCGCGTACCAGCGGCCTGCAAACGGGTCTCATTCTGCCCGCTCTAACGAGCGTCAAGATCTTTGGGCGGACGACACCCAGCCACACGTACCAGGTCAGCAGTGCCGCCACCGAGACACCTGCCGAATTGACTGGCGGCGGCAAAAAGCAACCCATGGGTATTCCCGGAGACAGCGGCGCTTGGGTTGTAGAGCGCGCCCACGGGCGGGTTTGCGGGCATGTCTTGGCGTGGAGTGGGCGGAAGCGCGTTGCGTATATTTGTCCGATGGATGTCTTGCTTCTGGATATTGCGGAGGCTCTTGAGGCACGCGAGGTCGGTTTACCCGGCGGCGAGCCAGTTGTGAGTCTGAAAGGACGTGACGAGGAGGATGAGGAAGAAGATGGGGGCACTTATAGAGACGACGAGCCTTCATCGTCGCCTTTTCTAGACCCCAAGGATGACGATGATTTGGATGTTGTTTCTGAAGAGGGTGACGATGACGAGCTGCCTGTTCTTGTCCGCTCACGCGCTCCTCCGCGAGGACGCGGTACGAAGAAGGAAGAAGGTCAACAACGTCAGGACCAAGACCAGAAGCAGGAGGAACCGGGCCATGAGCAGGAGAAGAAAAAGCAGGGCGGCACGTCGCAGGAGCGGGAAAAGTTTTCATCGGGCGAGAATCATGATTTATCACGCAGGATGGAGTCTATGGGCATTGGTAGGAGTCGCATGGGCGTCGGCATGTGTAGCTGACTGGCTGAGGGCCTCAGGGTGCGTCCCGCGCCCTGTATTCGGAATACCCCATTTGGATTTTTTTGAGTAATTTAGATTATGTAGCATTAATGAAGCATGAAGCGAAGTCATTACAACATTGGTATTTTTGTCTTTTCGTGTTTTGGCATTAATGTGAGCAGGCAGGACGATTAGTCTGGTCTTAGCAGTGGCATCTTATTGAGAATGGGAGAGGCAGACAATGAGGCTGAATAGCATCAACAATGGAAGAAAAGCTTCCCGCTGTAAGAGGAAAATGCAAGACGGACAGATAGAGAGAAGACTACATGAAGTCGTCTTCCCAGTTCTCGTCGCGGTTCTGGTTGCTCGTGG